GCCCCGTATGGTTGGTTGTTCCATTTGAAACGAGCTGCTCCATATTCAGTCAGCTGGTGGAGGATCTAGGGATACGTGGGCACATCTACATGAGATGCTAAAAGCGCAGTAGACTAATTGTACTGCACGTTAGTGCAACACAGCGAAAGCCATGCTAATGCGCAGCAGAACTAGTCTATTGTGCATTACCGTCACGTAAAGACGTGCACCTGTGCTAGTGCGCGGTAGCGCTGATCAGGGTGCATTTAGCACCCGTTACCACAGGTACTAAACTTGATGCACTGTAATTATGCTGCATTAATGCATGTGTAGATGTGATCGCTGAGTGTTAGCTTACCACTTCTGGCTTTTTGCTCTGGAGAGCGGGTTTAATCTTCAGTCCAGGCAGTGCATCCGGAGTTGGCTGGTTCTGATGTGTTAAACCCCAACTGCCTGCTTGTATTGTAGCTGCGACCCAGTGAAATCCCAGTCACCATTAAGTCTCCTTGTGTCAGCCCTATTGACACAAGCCCGATTTGAGGCATGAATCCTGGGTTGTTCATTGACCCTTTCAGGATTCACATGCAGTCTGGATGAAGCTAGAAAGTGATGGATCTGCCTCTCATGCCTGACTACAGTGATGGAGAGAGACAGGCTGCAGTTAAAGGTCACAGAAATCATACAGAAGTAGAGCCATGGGGCTGGAAGGGACCTGCAGAGGTCACATCTAGTCCAATCCCCTGCCTGAGGCAGGATCATTCCTGTCCAGACCACCCCATGCAATCCACCTCATCTAACCTCTTCGTAAGACTACCATAAACTCTGAGACAACACAAAACGTAACACCCCAACCTAGAATCATAGAAAATGAAGGTGGGAAGGGGCTGCAGGAGGTCACATCTAGTCCAACCCCTGCTCCAAGTGGGACCAACCCCAGCTACATCATCCCAGCCACGGCTTTGTCTACCCGGGTCTTAAACACCTCCAAGGATAGAGACTCAACCACCTCTCTGTGTTAACCCATTCCAGTGTTTTACTACCCTCCTGGTGAGAGAGTTGTTCCTAATATCCAACCTCAACTTCCCTTGCTGCAGCTTGAGCCCATTGCTCCTTGTCCTGCATCTGCCCCCACTGAGACCAGCCCAGCTCCATCCTCTTTGCAACCCCCCTGCGGGGAGGTGAAGGCTGCTATTCAATCCCCCTCGGTCTTCTCTTCTGCAGACTCAATCAACCCAGTTCCCTCATCCTCTCCGCACCAGTTCTGTCCCCCAGCCCCACAACCATTTCTGTTGCCCTCCGCTGGACTCTCTCCAACATGTCCACATTATTTCTGTGGTGGGGGCCCACAGCTGGACACAGGACTCCAGATGTGGCCTCCCCAGTGCTGAATAGAGGGGAAGAATCACTGCCCTTGTTCTGCTGGCAGCGCTCCTACCAATGCAGCCCAGGATGCCATTAGCCTTCTTGCCAACAAGGGCACACACGCTGCTGGGTCATATTCAGCTTCTTGTCCCCTGTCCCCCCAGGTCCTTTTCTGCAGAGCTGCTGCCCAGCCTCTCACCCCCAGCCTGCCCCGGTGCAGGGACTTTGCACTTGTCCTTGTTAAACTTCATGAGATGACTTTTGGCCCAGTCCTCCAATTTGTCTAGGTCACTCTGAACCCTCCAGTTTGTCTAGGTCACAGGAAAAGCAGGGGAAACAGCAGCTATTTAAATGACATTTAAAGGCATGTACCACGGTACGATCATGGCTCCAGATTCACCGCTGGCTGGAGCGAAGGGCCACCCCGTGCCATTCTACCTCTTCTGGACAAGGGGCATCCTGGAGTCTCCCACAGCCATGCCCTTTTCCAATGGTTCAAACAGCTTGTTCACACTCGTGTGAGTGCTGGGAGGTCTCAGCCACGGCCAGGTTTGCCTTCAACATGTTGCAGGTCCAGGACCCCTGGGTCCGAATCTGAACCATGAAAGGGGCCATGCCCTCTCCACAGAATCAAGGAGCAATGACCCTTGTGATAACCAAGGAGGCCGTTGTAGGGGTGAGTTAGTAAAGGGTTTGCTTACACTCCATGGCCCCCTTGGCACATGTTTCTCATTCTGGTGCCCCTGGGCTGATGCTCTGATGCTCATAAAATCCAGTGATGATAACAGGGAAAGAAACTTTGCCAAACACCCGCTGGTGCGGCGACATTCAGAGCTGAGAACAAAGGGGTGAAAAGGAAAAGGGCATTTATTTCCTTGCCGGCTCTCTGCCGCTTTATTTGATGCAGCAATGCCGCCGAGTAGAGGGCTTCAGGTCTACAGCTGTACTGGCTGCTTGCCTTTCCTGAAATAAAATGGCCAGACCTTTGGTGCCACCATTAGATAATCACCGAGGAAGAGCTGCCCCACTGTCGACCCCTCCTCTAGGCTACCCGAGCTGTGAGAGCACAAAAGCACGAGCTGCCCACAAACAGTTTTAACAGCACACACCAAGTCTGTCTATTCAACGGCACACTGAAAGGCCTGGAATGGAGGCGCTCCTTATTAATAGAGAGAAAGTGCCTTTGGCCAAGGGCAATGAACCGGGTATAAAGGGGCATTCGCGCTTTTGGGGAGCGGGCCTCTGCAAGCTCTCGGCCATTGTCAGTGCTGTGTGTTGTATCCTTCTCAAGGCAGACCTGTCACCTCCGATCAGGCCAGCGTCTTCCGAAGGCTTTGTTGCTGTTGTTCCCCTCCATGCAAATGCCCTGATCGCCTCCATTCACCGCACTTCCCCAGCCAGGGCTGGGCTCTGCAAGGGACTCGAACGCTAACCCTACGATGCCAAACGGTGCAGACACGGCCCGCCGTGGGAGGGTGATGGGGCAGAGACTGCAACACAAAGGCTCTGCAAAGGCCCTAGGAATTCATGGGTATACGATGTCGCTGTGGCTCTTGTCTAGGGACGTTCACACTGTTTACACACACTTCCTCTGCAGACGAGGAATTGTGCCTATTGCTTAGGACCTTAATGAAGCAGTAGAGGGTGGAAAGGCCCAAATCCACAGCCTGCACACCTGAGCAAAGGGGCTATGCTTCAAGTAGCTCGGAAGGGCCGGGGAAGAGGAACCTTCCCTGCTTCCCCTGCCCTTCTGCAGATGCAGCCGGCACTCAGCGCTCACGTACATCTTCTGCAGAGCGTCCAGGGTGGGATGTCACAGCACCGCCCCTGCCCCATTGGTCCAAGGTGCCTTGTTGTCTTTGGCCATGTAGGCACTTCCTGCATCAGTGCCAGGCAAAGCATGACACTGGGAGCAGGGTTGTCCCCAAAAGTTTCACTGGGTTTTCCCACTCTTTCAGCCTTACAAGTTGCTCATTCCCTAGTTACCCCGAGGAGTTCAGGAGGACATGGAAGGAAGAGGAAACACACCTGGGAGAGGGGGCATTGAAGCATGGCTGGAAAAAATGCTGAGCTCGATGGCCCACGAAACGCACAGCGTTCCAGCAGGGTGGCCAGTTCTCCCCAGTGCACAGCTCCAAAGGGGTTAAAGAGAATCCAGGTGCAATGACGTCCATGGCATAGACCAACCCCATGCAAAACCTACAGGGCTACACTGCCCTGTACTTATAATGGGAAAGCTGTGATGTCCCAGATCCTCTGACAGCAGCGGGCAGATGCTGAGTTTCTAGCTGGTTAGCACCAGTTAGAGAGGATGTGGGAAGCAGCTGAGGAGCGTGCGTGAGGGAGCGGATGTGCAGGCCTAATGGATCAGACCGATTTTGCCAGTTCAGCTGCTGTTTCCTTTGCACATGTGCTTTGAATCCAAGATGGGGTCAGAGGATCTGGTTCATGATCGAAAGCCTACTAAATCAATGCGAGGCTTTTAGCTGGCACTGACTTCACTGTTACTGCTGAGGTCCCCAGCAAAACTCACTCCGATTTCCCTGGGATCCATTAAACCAATGCTAAGAGCTTCTGCAGACCCTGTCTGCCGAATGCAATACAATTGCTAGCTTTCTATTCACTGTGCTTGAAAACACCAGATAAGCTTATGCCATGTCACAAATGCCATGCCCCTTAAAACCACGTTCTCTGTCGAGCCTGGCTTTTAACATTGGCTGAATTACAACATATAGCAAAACACTGGGCTCTTAAATCCGCCTCACCAGGGCTCAGCTCTGCCATGCACCGGGTACTTCCGCCACAAACGTAGGCATGTGCTTCACTTTAAGCATGTGAGTGGTGCCGTTGTGGCAAGTGTTTTGCTGACGTGGGCCAGCATGTTCATCAGCTTGAAGCACTAAGCTTCAAAGAGCTGAGACTCTTCTAGATCAAATGGGACCATTTTCCCAAGGACTTTAAACCCATCCCTACTCAGCTTTAAAAACACTGTTGGCTCTGAGGCTGAACAGCTGCACTACCCTGATCTGTGCTTACGTGCAAAGGTTACAACGGCAGCTGGCAGAAGTCAGCAGAGCTCCACTGAAGGCCAAGAAGCTAGTGGTTTGCACAATGACAGGATCTAGCCCATCTCTTACGCGCTGCGGCTGCCAGGGCATCTCCACCGACAAAAGGCCAGCCTGGCGTTGCAGAAACTGGAGTTCATGCTTATATCTATCTCCTTGGAGAGTACTGTTAGGTTTAGGTGACTGGCAACCTAAATCCTGGTGGCAAGAAGTGATTCTTTTCTTTCTTTAACCTTGGTCTCCAAACTGGATGTGGTTTAAATGCATTTCAATCATGGCACAGTTACAGGTCTGTGAACACAATTGTCCTACCACGCAGGAACAATTTAATGCACATACTCCTTCTGAAGGCAACCTCTCCGGTACAGGTAGAGCATCTCAATTTGAAAGCAAAATCTCCTTGACTTAACTGTTTCCTTAAATTATAACCTCTCGCAGAGTTCATGAAATGAAGAATTTGTACCACAGAAAGCTTTGCACAAGCCCTTTGGCAGCTCAAAGAAAGAAAACGTGTTTAAATTGTAATTCATAGCCAAAAGGTGCACCGGCTCCCTCTGAAGCCCTTTGGCCCCATAACAGTTATCAAACACTTACTTGACTCGCTGTGGTCGCAGTCCTGAGGATTGCACTTCTGGGTGTTTTCTGGCCACTGCTCATGGTCACACAGGCTGCTGTCTTCTTCAACTGCGCCCGTTTTAGTGTTCATGCATTTCACCTGCCGCCGCTGGATGCCTCCTCCGCAGGTAGCTGTGCACTGCAGGGAGTTAACAGGGCAGGGTGTAAATAGCTGCATCCAGACCTGCTGCTGTCTTGTGGACGGTGGTGCCGGATGTGAGACTGTACTTAAGTACCTGTATTCAATGTACCCATGTACAAGAACACCCAGACCAAATTCCTACACTGCCCCCATCAAACGTGTGCAGCTCTTTATCCCCTGGCTGCTCCAGCCAGACCTGTTCCTATGGAGCACAAAGGCATTTTTATTGCACATAGCCCAAGGTTTATCTGGTGTAGGGCTGCACAAGACGGCCTTCAGCTAAGTCAATCAGACCTCAGCCCATCCTGGCAACAGAGCAGGCTTCTTGTTTGGCTGGAAATCAGGAGTATTTAGCTGCTTGCATCTGTATTATGAACTGTGACTGTATTGTCTTCCAAGCTGGACTCTGCAAGTTCGGATTTCACAAGTTGTCTAGTCAAATTGGGATGCCTTTGGAGTTCCTCTGCTTACCATGGAAAGGCCAGGAAAACTATTATTTGACTATTCTGCAATACCAAGCCATTTTTAAAGGCTCTGTGCAGTTCTTGTGGACTGTATCAGGGCTTATGGCTGCACCACACTGAAAGTTTCACTGGCCTAGCTAGTTATTGGCCACTGCTCAAGGTCAGTTGTGCAGACCAGGTGGCATGGCTTATCTGAGACTGCCGTCAAGTCCTCAGAAAACTGCCTTCCAGAGATGATAAGCATGATTAATTCTATTAGCAAGGCAGCAGAAGGAAACGCTTGTTTCTCTGGGATGTGTTTGCTCACCTGTCCCCAGGATCCCACCACCCAGCTGGTACACGGATGAGCATTGCAGGGCCTCGTATTGTTTGGCCTCAGCATTTCCTCGCACCGTCCAAACTCTGGGCACGTCACCAGACGCTCCTGCTGCCCTCCTCCGCATGACTCGGAGCACTAGGGAGAAACACAGTGGCTGTCAAAAACAGGAGGTCAATTTGGGATAGCGGATCAGGAGGTACACGGCTCTTTCTGGGTCCTTACGGAAATAGTGTCAAGTGGCTCCAAAAAAAACTCTGCCTCTAGTGCTGAATGCCCTTGTTTAAGTACCCAACCGTGGGTAGTGAGTGGTTTCACTCCGGCTAAACTGGATCACAGTTGGCCCCATCAGCTCATCAGAAGACAGGAGGTCTCAGTTTGGAGGCAGGCCTGCTTTCTACGCTCCAGATACTTAGAGGGTCAAATTCTGCCCACAGCTGAGCTCAGGCAATCCTCCTCGCACTGACTTCTTATAGAGGAGAGCTCCAGAAGCGAGGGCAGGGCTTCTGGCCCCAGCCTGTTAGGCACTTTTTAAATAGCAGCCATTATGCTCTGTGCTGCGTGGCTAAGCAAAGCCAGAATGCCAGCTAGCTGCGTCTCCGGAGGAGGAGATGAAGAATAACAACTGGTGTAAAACAGCACATCACAAAGCAGACAAAAATGTATTTACTGACTGGGCAGCGAAGAAAACGAATGGGGCGTCTCCTGACAAGCTGATCTAAATTTGGAAGGTATTTGATGGCACGACTGCAGCGTAAATGATGGACTCTGGGGCCCCTGGCTTCTCTTCTTCAGCCAACGGATCATTTTTAAAGCTGACGGCAAAAATGAAAGAAATGTAATGGGCTAATCGAATGGCACCGTGGGTTATGAAAGCAGGGCTGCTGTGATGAATGTGCCCTGCTCTGGAAGGGAGGAGGGGAGAATTCAAGGCAGAAACAGGCTTGTTTGACCGCTTGAACCCTTTTTTCCCCCTATGCAATCCTCTGACTATAAAGACACCCCTGGTGGCATCGTTATATGGCTTCACGAATTCCAGAAGTCCCCTTGTAATCCATCCATCAGCGATGTCACCAAAGGATGCATTGCATGAAGAAAAATATAAGGGAGGCTCGGGGAAGGGGAGGTGACTCTCATTTAAATGTCATCAGGGCCATTTGGGAACAAGGTTTAAAAACAAAGCAGTGGATTTCCGAGTCTTCTGAGACGACCGACCCTTCAGCTGAAAACTGGGGATAAGGGACATGCCTCAGCTGCTGATGAGGATTTCCACTCTGGCAGCCAGAGTACGTCCCAGATTCACCCTGTCTGCACTGTCGCTGGTAGCTTTGCATTCTACCATTTATGAACTTAATTCATCATCATCATCATCATTACTGCAAGCCATTGTTCAAGCACATAGAAGAGAACTTGATCAGTGCGTCTCCATGTTAGCGTCTTATAGATGGGTCTGGAACGAAGTCCTGGATCAGGACCTTCTGGATTTCAGCAGAGTTTGAATCAACCCTGCTATGAGGACACATTGGGCATGTCTACATGTGCAGTCCAGCTTAAATTTACTGCGTAGTAAGTTACTGCGCAGAAAGCTGGAATAGGCCGGCGTCTACACGTGCAGGCATTAAGGTGCATTAACACTGTGTGTGGACTGACTTGGGACTAAAGTTAGTCCCAAGTCAGTCCACACACACACAGCGTTACTGCGCAATAAGGTGTCTATAAGTGCATTACTGCGCAGTAACTAATCAAGCGTAAATTTGATACCTGCATGATGCAGGTATCAAATTTACATCCAAGTTGGCGTAAGTCGCCATATTTACTGTCCTGTACAGACACACATGTGTAGCTGTGCGCCCATACTGTGCAGTAATTTTGCACAGTAAATGCACATGCGTGCACCCTCCTGCCCGGACACCCCCTCACCTCTCTCCAGGAGGACGTGTACCAGTCCAGACAAGGCTTGGTTTGACAGGCAGCCTGCACAGGTGGCTTGTAGAGAACAGCCTGACAGTGGAAAGGCCTCAACAGCCTCTGATCTCGGGTGTCGATGCAATGCACGTCCCGGACCCGCAGTCCCCCTCCGCAGTTCTTGGAGCACTGGGTAAACAATATAATGAATCATGCCGCTGGAAGGAAGGCAGTAAGAGTCTCCAGGCTGGAATCCCTCTGGCAAAGTGGAGTTCAGCCGGTTATTAAAGTGAATGGTCAAGCTTCATCTTTCACTACCTCTTTGTTTTGTTTCCCTGGCTCTTTGTGGCCCTCTCCATTTCTGCACCTAAGGTGGTCCAAAACCATGCCTGCTCTCTGCCTTGAACGGGTTCTGCTTGCATTTTTAATACTGACGTGCAGACAGAGCTGATGCTCCCAGGGCCGAGAATCTCGGGAACGAAGGCCAATTAAGATCAGCAGCAATAATCAGGACTCTCCCCTACCACTTATTCTACCCTACCCTGGATTTGTCCAGCCTCAGTTGACATGCTCCTATGAGTCCGTCAGTGCTGCTGATGCCACCGCCTTGCAGGAGATTGCCCCAGCAGTTCTCCAAAATATCTCTTTCCTTTATAGCAAGAGCCTATTTCCCCCTTTTTGATCTCCCCAAGAGCATTCCCACCGTACCTACTTCTACTGACTCCCTTCCAGTCAGAGGAGATGGCTATTCCCACTTAGCTACCTGTTACCCAGGGGATATATATCAGCTGCTTTAGTCTTCCTGCATACTCTAACTCTGTCTGGCTTAACTAACAAGGCACCTAGAAAGGGCAAGAAGCCCTCACACCCTCCCCTATGTGTTTACCTTACTCCAGTTGCCAACACGCCACGATGAGCACGGTCTCAGGGAACACCTTCGAGCAGGGACGGGTTTATTTGCAGCAACACAATCGTCATCATTGCCTGTGCTGCAGTGCACTGTCCTCCAGATTGCTCCCAAGCCACAGGTGGTGGAACACTGGAACGGGGAAATTGAGACAGAGGAGAAATAAATCCTGTGCTCTCGCTTCACTGCAAGCAAGACCTCAGGAGCTAAGCAGTGCAGCGTCCGTGCGAAGACATGCAACCAGGCAGCTGCAAGCCCCTCTGGCCGTTCTGGAGGCATCCTATGAAATGCAACAAGGATGGGACCACCAGGACACGATGGGAACGAAACGGGATTCAGCAGAAAGGCCTCTCCAAACCTTGGAGTTCTGTTTCTCTCGGCACGGCTGTGAATCGGAGAGGCTACACCAGGGCAGAGCGAGGAGATGGCAATGGCAGATCTGGGGCACAGAAGCTAACAGAGAACAAAAGCTTTCCTGTGGAGCGCTTGAACCACCCCGTACAATTTAACTGAGAACTTGATGCTGGACTGGTCTCAGTGGGGCAGACGACAGGACAAGGAGCAATGGGCTCCAGGTGCAGCAAGGGAAGTTGAGGTTGGATATTAGGAAAAACTCTCTCATGAGGAGGGTGGTGAAGCACTGGAGCAAGCTCCCCAGAGAGGTGGTGCAGCCTCCATCCCGGGAGGTGTTTAAGACCCAGGTAGACAGAGCCGTGTCTGGGATGATGTAGTTGGGGCTGGTCCTGCTTGGAGCAGGAGGTTGGACTGGATGTCACCTCCTGAGATCCCTCCCAGCCCTCATTTCCTATGCTTCCATACCTGCTGGAGAATCATCTGACATCCCACAGCAAGGTCCCTCTTACCTTCTGGTCTAGTCCAGAAGACACCAGGCTTTTGGGAAGAGGCTCTCCTATATATGCTCTCCGGTCTCTGCTCTGACTGTGAGCTTGTGCTCCTCATTCCCCCTTCTTATGAAATATTTTACACAGGTCTCAGACTCACCTATGTGAGACCTATGAACTCTGAACTGGGGTCACCTTCAGCCGGTTTCCCATTGACTAGGCAGCTCCGTGCAGTCCTGTAGTAAACGGGTGAAATATGAGTGACTTCAGCCAGCCGTGGGAGAAGGGGGGCACCAGCCTGTTTAATTTTTAGAGCTCTGTTTAATTAGCATTGCTGGCTTTGGTTGTTTAACAGCTCTCTGGGTAAACATTTCCTCTCCATCTCCATCTCTATCTCATTTCCTCTGAGGCCAGGACTCCCTTTATTTGCAGTTCCTGTCCTGTCTCATCAAGTGCCACAAGCTCAGACACACTTCATCTGTCGGCGACCTCTGAAATGCAGCCCAGTTTTACTCTCCCTTTTGGGGCTCAGCTCCTGTTTCCTGCACTCTGAACGGCACTTGCTTCCCCATTGCCTCCTTTCTCCCCATGGAAAGCCTTGTGCAGTGGCTCAGTTACCCCAGTGCAAATCTGCATCACGGCACTGAAATGGCACCTGTCCCACTGCACGCTGAAGGAGTAACTGGGAACACAGTTTAGCTCAGTACCCGCCACTATCCTCCTCTCACTCCCTGAGCAGCACTCACATTAACGCCCCTGCTCGGTGCCCCCCTGACAAGCCGCACGTGCTGGATTGTGCTTTGCCGGTATGAGGCAATGTCCCCAAAGCTCTTACACTTGTCACGAGAACGTCTCCCAAATTTCTCCTAGGGATTAGCCTTTAGTGCTGCATGCCCTTGGGGATTCATTCTTCATCTACATTGTATTAGATACGGGCCTCATTACCTTGCAATGACCTGCATAAGCCAATTGACCCTCGTTGCACAGTCTAGACAAAGAAATAGTCCCAGCAATTATGTCATCCTATAACCAAGCTGTAGCTAATGATTAGTGATGGCATTGCAGGGAGCAGGCTCAGCCTTCTGGGTAAGCCACAGCTTTGCTGCCCCTTAGCACAGACATTACATTTCCATCATTTTAGCTAGTTTTAAGGCTGCCTCCACAGCTGAGCACTGTAGGGCAGGGTCTGCATCTTACTGGGTGTGCTGGCACATCACCTGTGGTCTGCGATGTGGACTATGGTGATGAGGGGGCATCATCACTGGACCAAATAATGCAGATTATAACATCCGAGGTTCATTCATATGCTGTCAGATATGCCATCAACTGCTTACTGTGCCCCTCTGCTGTCGACATTGGGCAGACATAGGGGTGATCCCTACGTGTAGGAATGAACGAGGAGCAAGCTGAAATCGGCTCCAAAAAGACACGCAAGCCCGCGGCCAAACACTTTCAACACTTCCTCGCTGGTTGAAAGCCAATTTGACTGGGAAACTGAGGAACCGGAAATCACCCACGACTGGACTGTGTTAAGTGTGGTCTAAACTGAGACGGGGGCTTCTTATCCCAGTACCTGGATTAGTTTCATCCCCCCCCCGCCCCCATGCCTCTCAGTGAGTTACCTGCTTTGTTTTCCTTTCTCCTACTCACCTTGCCTCTCTCAGCAGTGCCCCCTCCTTCTCCTGCCCCCTTCCCTACCCTTGGTATTTTAATCACTGCTTTCTGTTCAGCAGCTCCACTTCCTGCAGCCCCTTTGCAGCATCCGACGAAGCCAGCCACTGCTTACAAAAGCTTATGCTACACATCTCTGATTCAGGCAGTCTACAGGGGGCAAATCTGCCCTCTGCCCGACTTTGGGCTGGTGCAGGTAACTACCTCTCTGCCTCGCTAATGGATGCTGGAGATAGTAGTAGGGGAGCTGAGAACTTGTCTGGGACTGGCGGCATGTTCCCTTGACTGCTGGTGCACTGTTAGCCACAAAGAGGGCGGCTCAGTGGTATTCGGATGGCAGGTGAAGAAGAGGGCAGGGCCACTTCAAAATTCCTGGGAGCAGGGGAGGGCACGGCCCCAGGGGGAAAGCAATAGGTCCAGTGGTCGCTGCACGCTGCGTGCACCACAGTGCCTGTGTGTGCACCCAGGAAGGAGGCTGCTCTTGCCCAGCAGGAGTAGTGTGTGTGCGTGCAGGTGTGTGCTCAGGATCCAGAGCCCTGACCCAACTCCTCCCAGCATCCGTTCACAGAGCAGAGCAGTCCCCTTTCTGCTGCCTGCATTTCATTAGCACTAGCCAGCCCTGGCGAGGCCTTGCTAATGCCTGCAGTTGGAGTCTGGCCAAGGAACTGAGCTGACTTGTGAAACCAGCCCAGCACCCGTGGACCAAGCGAGAGACCGGCCTGGCTGGTTCAGGTAGCTAATGCCCATGTTGCTTGATGAACAGGTCTCAGCTCTACTTACCTGGCTCCAGTTCCCAACTTCCCAGCTGGCTGTTACTGGGGCTGCTTCCGTAGCCGAGACCCCGAGGACAGACTCCTCCTTCACTACGTTCTCGTCCTCCTCCTCCTGCGGCAGCTCTGGCTGCACTGGGGTGGGGAGAGAGGGCTCAGGTTCTCCGCTGCTGTAGGCAAACGTGCTTTGGGTTCCCTGTGGGGACCCATCCCCTGGGGCTGCACTTTGGCGTGTGTCCGCTGGGGTGGTCTCGTGGGCCCTGGCAGCAATGTGCATTGTGGGATAAGTCCTCTTTGTTTCCTCTGATTCTCCATCAGCCCACCCTGCAGAGGTTAGTGCAGCGGGCAGAGTTGCTGGTGGAGCAGCTGCAGGGCTCTGACTGGAGGATCTCGGCACTGCAGGGGTCTGGGTGCCTGGGTGGGCTGGATTGCTTGGGGTAAGCATTTCAATTATATGGGTAGATGGCCTGAATGTAAGGGCTGTGGTGGCTGCTAGGACATCCTGGGTGGGCAAAACAATGGTGGAATAGACTGGCTGGTTCTGTGCACCTCCTGCATGGACCAGCTCTTTGTCCAGTGAACTGTCTATACTCAGAACAGAATCAGCATCTTTTTGGCTGTCTCCCATTTCCTGCTCACCCGTAGGCACGCGGGAGAGGAAAGGGGTGGCATAGGCTACAGGGTACGGTGACTCACTTGTCTGTAGCTGGGGTGGCAGGGTAGGTGGTCTCCAGTTGGTGCCTACTGTCTCCTCTGTTGCAGCCCTACCTGCCTGTGCATCTTCATCTTTCGTTTCGGAGGCAGCATCATCACCGTCACCGTTGTCATTATCATCGATGACCGAATTCACGTCACTCGCGTCTCCATGGCCTTTCTGTGTAATACCAGCCAAGACGTGGTCTTTCTTGCTGTCGTTATCAGGAGCCTCTGTGCTTTCATGATCCTCTTCCCTGCTTTCAGGCCTTCCTGTGCTTTCAAGAATGGCGTGTGCGTCTTCCCCACCGGCGCCGTTCTTGTCAACGGGCAGCGGTGGAGAGAGAATGGCCAAATAAGGAGACGCGGTAGCGAGGTCGGTGATTGTAGAAATGGTGCTTGTCAGCAAGGCTCCTTGGGGGTTATCAGTGGGCAGATTATCATAGCTGTTTATAGAATAATGGCTCGTTGCACTCAGAGTGGGTGGAGGGTCTTTGGAGAGCGGCGTATGCATTTCCTCCTCTTCCTCGTCTGTCACGTAGGAAGTGGTATAATCAGCAGGGGTTGTCTTGATAACCTCATGTTGAGTTACGCTGAAGAGGGTTTTGTTGACTTGAGCCCCCGCGTCTTCCTGCTCTTCACCATGCACCTTTGCAGAAGGGTTTGTTTCACTGTCTGTTGAGATTACTTTGCTGGAGTCTCCTCCTGGTTTCTCCTCGTATGAAGTATCGGGAGACACTTCATTGGACTCTTCCACACTATTAGCTGTCTTGTCCCCAGGCTCTGGTTTAAGCCCATCGCTCTTGATGTCCTTCTCACCAAAAGGGTCATAGGACAGGTCTTCATGGAAATTGATGAAATTATAATCGTAGTAAAAGTCATCAACAAACACATTTCCCTTTTTGTTGCTGCTGGATGAGAAGTCCTCCTCGGGTATGACGTTCACGTCGTTGGACTCTGGGACATTTGGAATCGAAGGGCTAAATTTAGCAAGGTGATTATGGGGCATGTGATGTATCTCATTAAACAGCTCTCTGCTGGAAGACCCGCTGCCGGACCAGTCAGCGTTGGCGTTTTCTATTTTCTTTTGGCACGGCTGTAGGGAGCATGTCATTTCTGACCCTGGCTTTTCTGTAGGGTCGCAGGCCATCCGAGTATTGTTACTGCAGTAAACAGGGCGCCTCTGTGTCCCATTTCCACATGTTACTGAACACTAGAAAAGGAAGAAAAGAAACCAAGATATCAGCAAAGAGAGTCTGCGATTTAAGTTGGTAAATTATGCTAAGGATGTGCATCGTCTTGGGAGCATGGGCATCCCTATGCAGATGAGCTGACATAATGACATAATATTGGCGAAGTAGGAATCACAATTCCTTCAGAAGTCAAAACAGATTTGAGTTGAGCAGAGTTCCCGTGCCTTTAAGCAAAGCCCAATGACCTGACTCCTGAGTGAGTGCTTGGGTCTTCTGGTTAGATATGCAGTGCAGAGCAACCTCTATATTGTGTTAAGAGTGGTGATGAGGCTTTAATCAAGAGCTGCATCCACTTCTGTCACAAACCACCTTACTGATATATTTATATCAGAGGCTGAAGCATGGCCAGCATGTTTTTGGAGTCAGGGGTAGCAAGGGGCAATGGCTAAGATGATCTAATAGGCCTTTTCCATTAGCAGTTTCCATGAAGGACAGCTCTTCTTTTGAAAGAGGTTATTAAATAAAGGGGCAATAAAGATGGGTGTTGTCCCATAAAATGAAAAAGGTGAGGATCAAAAGTTTTGTTGAGGGGAAAAAGCACATAACAGACCCATTGATATTTACTCAGCACAGAAGAGCTCCCACAAATTGGAAAGGAGGTCAATGAGATGTCCCTGCTCAGTATGTACAGTATACTTCCACATACGTTGCATTTGGTCTGAATGAGCCATAGATCGACAGAGCTTTACTTAGAGGGGACACAAGTGCCTTGCTCAATCAAACCTAGCAAAAATGATCAATGGGCATTTTTTGATTGAAAAGCCATTACCATGGCCACAAATGTACTTTTCAGTGACCATAGCACCGAAATCGGAGTATAAGATAAACTGCAAAGATCAAGTTCTCAGTGTATTCTCTGAGTCCCTACATAGACTCTGGCCAATCTTGGCCCGGACAAGGACTTGTAAGTATGCTTACCGCACTTATACAGACAAACACACGTGGGCAAAGGTCCCTGCAGACCAGCGTTGTTCCTCTGCATCCCACAGCACTGCTCGGGGCTGATGTGGCCTTCAGCATGTGCTAATGGGCCCTGTGGGTCGTTATCACTGAATCATAAAATTCAGGCTGGAAGGGACCTCAAGAGGTCACATCTAGTCCAACCACCTGCTCAAAGCAGGATCAGCCCCAGCTACATCATCCCAGACAAGGCTTTATTGAGTTGTGTCTTCAAAACCTCCAAAGACGGAGATTCCCCTACCTCTCTAGGTAACCTGTTCCAGTGCTTCACCGCCCTCCTCGTGAGAGAGATTTTCCTAATATCCAACCTCAACTTCCCTTGCTGCAGCTTGAGCCCATTGCTCCTTGTCCTGTATCTGCCCCCACTGAGAACAGCCCAGCTCCATCCTCTTTGCAGCCCCCCTGCGGGGAGGTGAAGGCTGCTATCAAATCCCCCTTGGTCTTCTCTTCTGCAGACTCAATCAGTCCACTTCCCTCGGCCCCCCCTCACCAGTCCTGTCCCCCAGCCCCCAACCATTTTCATTGTCCTCCGCTGGACTCTCCAATTTGTCCACATCCTTTCTGTAGTGGGGGGCCCAAGCCTGGACACAGGACTCCAGACGAGTATTGTGTTGCATGGAAGAGCCCTCTGGCTACATCCCATCTCTTAGGTCCATAACAGGAGGGTTGGTGACGAGGAGACCTCACAGGCTGCATATTGTCTGGGTTTTCTCCCAGGCAGCTTGCCCAGTCCAGGCAGCTCTGTGAACCGTATTGCAACCAAAGTACGTGGAAATGAGGCCCTGTTTCCCTTGCATGCTAAGACAGAGTTTGAGATGGTGATTTGCTACTGCAGTCGCTGAGGAAAGAGGAAGGATTATCCACTAGCCAGGCCAGGGGAGAGGACAGTTCAATTCCCTGCTTCTCTGCTTTCCACAAACTTATCCCAGAACGAGCGTTAATTAGCCTGCGGGGGATTTGACAACAGTCTTGAAGGGTGATGACAGAGAGGATGGAGATGGGCATTTCTCTGTGCATGTAGGGGACAGGACTAGGAGTACTGGCCTCAAGCTGCAGCAGGGGATATTCAGGTTGGAGACGAGGAGGCAATCCCCGACTCGGAGGGTGGTCAAGCATGGGAACAGGCTGCCTAGAGACGTTGTGGAGTCTCCATCCTTGGAAACTTTCAGAAGTAGGCTGGACAGACGTGTCTGGTGGGGCTTTGTCAGGGATGATCCTGCCAGGAGCAAGGGCTGGACTAGACAACCTCCTGCCTGACTTTCCTATGATCCCATGATTTCCTGGGTGACCTTAAGTCACTTAGCCTCTTCAGACAGCTTTTGCACTGCAGGGACCCACGACAGCATCTTCCCCATTCCCCCCACGTGGCCCCGGAGGCCTGAGTGCTTCTGCATTTACCCAGTGCTGACTGCGCTGCTCACCCCATGTGCCGTGGTATCAACGGGCAGGCTGGGGCCCTCGTCTATCTTAGCTTAACGCCTCCTTGGACATGTGAAATATAGTGAAATCAAGACGGAGGAATGTGCAGGCACAAGGGCAGCTTGTTGATAGACATACGTGCCCGCGCTCAGGCATTTTGTCACGCACAAAATAGGACTGAAGTGAAGGATTTCTACATACAGCTGGTAGCTGATGGGACCCTCATCCACTGCTTCTCCCCGCCAGGACTCTGTGGTTGAAACCAAGGGAATACAGAGCAATATCCACACCTTGTCCCTGAGGACAACATACGCTAATGCCCAGACAATGTGTAGCAAATTTGGCTGAAAAGCCTCAAGGGAACGGAGCTGTAGAGCAGAATGCCTCGCTGGATCCTCAACCCCTCACCATTTCAACCGAGCAGACTGCCTCCCACGTTGGGAGAGGAAGAGACGGCAACAACTGATGATCTTAGGAAGGCTTGACATGCACAAAGGGTTAAGGAAAGATTGTGTAACACTACATGATGGGGGCTTGGAGGTCTACACACACACACACACACACACACACACACACACACATGCACACACACTATGTCCATGCAATAAGCAAACACACTTAATTAACCTGAACCTCATTTAAGTGCAAAGAGAAGTCATTCAGAGAATCTAGCACGTTTAACACGGATGCGCTTTGGAAGCTTCCTGAACGAAAGGAGCAACAGCTCTCACCCAGCAAAGCACCTAGGCATGTGCTTACATCCCCTACTTAAAAGCCATGCTTAAATGCTTTGCTTGATAAGGGCCAGTGTGATTATAAGGCTTTCCTATTATAATCGTAAAGGCTTAGCTATTATGTCCCTGTCAAGTTTTCTCCCCTTTATTTTCTATCTTTCATTGTGGCTGAGAGAGAGAAAAGGAAAGAAGACTCTTGATTAGAGATAAGAAAGAATGTGTAGAAAATAATGGGGGATCTTTGGAAAATCCCCAAAGATTTCTTTTCTGGACTCACTATTGATCATAAGGCCAAAAGGGACCATTGTGAGCATCTCGTCTAATCTCCAGCCTAACGCAGACCATATCACTTCTCTGAATTGGCTGATTATTTCAACCAAGGCAGCCTTCTTTCTCAACCAAGGGATTGTAGCTTTGTCTCAGAAAATTCCCATTTATCATTCACATTTTTTCAGTCACATCTTCTTCCTCCTGTTATTTTTCAGTCACAAATACTTCCTTTTTTATTGTTCTATTGATTTTTTAAAAATTAAAACTTTCTAATTTCTTCTTTTCTTGTTGGGGGGAATGGAAAGATTTGGAAATATAAATCTTATTTTGAATTTACAGTTTTTTTGGTTAAGAAAAATACACAGCCTATGATTTAAGCTGAACCATCAATCAACCTCCTCCCCCCCCCTCCCAAAAGCTGAGTAGATTTTCAATAAAAGTTCCCATGGAATATTTCTTCTAATACGAGACGATTTGGACATAGGCTTGCATAAAGAATTCAAGATGTTGCTTGTAAGAAACAGCCCCATTTCACAGAAAAAATCGTTTTACAGAAAAGTTTTCCCCGACTCCATGCTCACTTTGTTGCCCCACTTCTTGCAAAGCCCCTCGGGTGCCCTGGCCGTGCAGGCTTCAACCTCCAATGCAGGGTGGGGGACATGAGGCCTGTAGAGTTAGGGAATAATTGCCCTCCGAGGGCGCTGAGCACCAAGCACAAAGAGCCATTTCCTTGCAGAAGCCCCTAGTCCTGATGCAGGCCAGGAACGGGGCTTTCTCCTAGGCCCCATCACAGTGCTATGCTCTCCCTATTCCAGATGTTAGCCTACACTGGGGCCCTTGTATGCTGGAGACCCAGGACAAGCCACACTGGTGCGACACATCTGGACCGGGTTTTGGCATCGCTGCAGATGCACCAGTGTCGCCACCCCTGGGTATATATCCCCATATAGACAGGGCCTGGTGTTTAGCCAGAAAGAGCTTTAAAAAAAGACATAATCACACCAAGCCCCTCGGGATCTGCTCTTCCACAGGCGGCTGCAGAGAAATGGTAATAAATTCCATCTGCAAACAGACAGCGCCTGCTTAGATAACTACTGGAGGGGGGAAAGCGGGGGCTACTTCTGTAACTCACTATACTGCACTTTTTGTTTCTGGCTTTAAAACAATGGCTGTGGAGATGATCAGCGTGAAGGTTGCGTGGGTCAAGGTCAGTGCTGACACTTAACAAAACCCCCAGTCTTAGGAGAATCGCTCTGCTGCCTCCATTCAGCGGGCTGACTTATCTGTTGAAATCCATTAATAGCAGGGCGTCCCGTAAACTAATTGGGGAACAATCTGTGCTGCTCACTCCCCATATAGCCAAGTGGGCTAGGCTAGCCGGAGGGCTTTTTTAGAAGAGAAGAGTTCATTTCCTCCCAGCCATATATTACAAAGAGTAATCAGCTGCTGGCCAACGTGCCCACCCGCTGTTATGGCTTGCCAAAAACACCTTGTTTCAGGAAACTTCGAACACGAGCTGGAGGCTGCCGAAGTTGAGGGTGGAAACTTTCTGAGCTGGAAAACATGCAAAAAGCTTTAACAGCTCTTTATTTCTGTGATTCTCGGTGCCAAAAATGGCCTATTTACTTTGCCCTGATGGAGAAAACAGCACTATTCGCAGGCGGAGGGAAAGCAAAGATGAAAACTGCCTGGGGCTCATTCTTTCTGTTAAGATCTGTCTGAACCACAAGCCTGCCTTGCATGTGAGCTGGCTGTAGACTTGCAGCTCTTCCAAAAGAAAGAGAGAGAACGAGAACTGCGCTGTTCGGTTTATCCGGAGCCCTGCTGCTTGCTGGGATGTCTGAGAGCTGGCAGCATGGGAGCTAGACCCCGCACCGACCCCCTGCCCCAAGCATTTTGCCTCTGTCACTGGAGGGAGCCCTTCTGGGAAAGCCTCTGCGTCTCGCTGCCCGGTTCCAAGAGACCTCTTGTTTGCAAGTGCCATGGAAAAGGGCAACCTAATGCTCCCGCACGCCCTGGGAACGTTTATCTACATGGGCCCTCAAGCCTCTCCAGGAACGAAGACTAATGCTCTCTCCACCCTTTGACTTTCTTACCTCGGACCAGTTGCCCACAGCCCACTGAGCAGGACAGGCGATATCCCTATTGCAGGGACCGGCAGCTTCTGGCTTGGAGAGGGGCTGACACTCTTCGGGCGGCAGGGCTCTCTGTTCGTCCACCCCCACGCTCTGGATGCAGAGGACCGTCCTCCTCGTGAGCCCCGTTTCGCCGCACGTGGCAGAGCACTTCTGCCACTCGCCAGCCCACCATCTAGGAGAAACGTAAGCAATGAAAAGTCAGGTGGCGCTGCCCCTTCACGCGTCCTGGTTCATTTCTAGACCCCCCAGCCCTGCAACGTCATGCTGAACGGTCCGCAGAGAAGGGCCTGGATCTCAAAAGCTTTGAAGAGCGCGCAGCAAGCACTTGCACCCGAGAGCCAGTTGTTTGTGGGGAGCGAAGCCACTTGCAAAGCTCAGGGCTGCACCTGGATGCTCGCTGCCTCTCCAGCAGACAGCTCAGAAGGGCTGAGAGAGAGGCCGGGGTCCCTGGGGAAAATGGGACCTTGACTGGGCCCTCCAAAAACTCAGATCCAAGCTGCAGGTCTACGATTTGTCTCTGGCTTTGCGTGCAACATGGTGGGGGTTCCTGGCTTTTTCCAGCTGGGTCCCTCCCAGTGGTGCTTACTGTCACAGGGTCCGACTGGCAAATCCTTACTCACGGGAGCGACCCCTGGGACGTCACTGTGAGCCAAGATTGCCTCACAGGATCGGGGCTACTGCAGGGTGGGGGATGAAAACCGTGATGTCTAATGGTCCTGCTTATGCCCCAAACCCAAGCTCAGTGCCGTTTCCACAGCACGAGTTTGCTGCACAGAGCCTGGCCCTGGTCACTACAGGAGGGGAGCAGGGGGAGCAAGGGGAAGCGGACCTGGCAGGGCAGGGCTCCTCGCTGCACGTCCGCTGCCTGTCGTCAGGGCGGCTTAACGAGTCGCAGTACCGCTCCTCCACGATGCCCGCCATCTTTTCAACACAGTGCACAATCTGTCTCTGAACACCTGGGGAGAGAGACCGCAAACACAGGTTCATTGGGGCAAGCGGGGCCCTCGGTGAAACTGCCCTGGCATGTCGAGAGCCGAACACCTGCAGGCTGCCGCGACAATCGGCTCCCTTGACGGGGGGGTCGGAGGCCTGGAATGCTGTAATTAAGTGGCCACTGAATGCAATGATTTGGGCCGGGGGTCAGCAGATGTCAGGTCTGGATTGCAGCTTGCTGAGACGCACACGTACAGTACAGATCATCAAGAATTAACAACCAGCGCCTTTGTCTGCCTTCCCCCTTTGTCGGGCAGCCTGTTGGCAGCAGCTCCCTTGCTCAACTCCCTGTTTTCAATCACCCAGAAGAAAAATGATTGCCTTAGAGAGAGAGAGAGAGAATCCTGACTATGTAGGAGGAATAAAATTAACTCCTTTCAATGGACCCTTTAAAACAACAAGCTCCATAAATGCCAGTCAAGTCCCCACGATGGGGTGGTTTTTCTCCTTCTGTTTCATTTACCCCAAGCTGCTTTAGCCATTGAAAAAAAAAAAAAAAGCCACTGCTAACAAATAACAGGAGGCCTCCTAGCCACCTGGTAGGAGAGAAGGGAAAGGAAACCCTTGAAGGCTGCGATTTGAAAGCCCCCTCCTGCCCCGTGCCCACGGTGCCCACCCAGAAGAGCTCAAGACCATTCCCCAGACTCACAAAGTCTAAACGTTTCTGCTCAGCAGCCACTTCAGGTTGCTGGCTCCACAATGGCACAGATTGTCGGGGGAACAATGCTCCCATTGTCGGGCAGAAGTGCAAAGGGGAGCGGGAAACCCAACCCGCGCATGTTATCACGATCAGATTTACGGAGCTTCGCAGTGCTGGAAAAAGGATCCTGGCTACATGTCTCCCGCCGGGCGCTGCAGCCCAGAGGTGAAGGGTTAGAAATAATACCGATCTGTCCAGGGCGCAGACACCGAGTCTCTCAAAGCAAAACACGTCACGCACGGGAACGGCATCCCCGGGGAGGCAGGACATATTATCCGTTTGCCCAGCGTGAGATAAAGATTAGTTAGATGCTAATCCCGGCCAACCCAAACACTGAGCTAGAGCCTGATTACGGAAAGATTTGGATAAATCTTGTAGCTGCCTTTAAAAACCATATGTCAGGTTGTACTTTGCCGGTTCCCTTTCAGAGCTGGGGGTGGTCAGGAAACAAGGCAGAATACGCAAGGACGTTTTCTGAAGTCTGGGGCTCTGGGAAGAGCACGAGCTGCTTGCGCTATGTGCTTCAAGGAAAACAAAATGAACTTTAGAGCCTAATATTCATCTCCCCCTACTTTAACCTTCATCCAGAGAGAAACTGCCCATGCTCCAGGCTCTGCGCCACTCCTAAAGAGCATGGCTTGCCTTCATGCGACGCGACTTGCACTGCAGCGCGAGGAAAACTGCGAAGGAAGAAAGAGCCGGGAAGAGGTCTCACAGCCTGCGGCAGCAACACCGGGGCTGCACTTTGCGTCTGCCTTCGACCCGAGTCGTAGCCGCCTCAGGAACAGGCAGGGAGGCCCCCCGGCACCGCTTCTCCCCAGCATCCTGCAATGGGCAGGTTTGGTGGGTGGAAAAAGCAGCTGGTTCAGCAATCAAGCAAAGTACCCTGGGTCTCGTCTGCCTGGGGGTCCATCAGATGACTCTCTCGTGTCTCCGAACAACAGGGACTGAGAAACAACAGAAGGACAATCTTCACCTGCGGCTGTCTCCATCGGGCCCCGGGGGACACGCTGGCCAGACTGGACTTCGGCTGCAATTGGAAGGGGCGCCGGGCGTAGCAGACTGCAATGATGATAACCGCTCTGCTGGGGAGAGCAGCCCCCCTTGCAGCAAAATCCCACCCCCAACCAAGTCTTGGGGAGTGTGGCTTGCTCCGTTTCTCTTTTTTTCTGATCCTCCAGGTTATTTCAATATAATTGTTTGTTGGAATATACGTGTACCTATTAGCTTACTCATAACCAGGCCTGTTTAAAATAGGAAGCATCTGGTGAAGGGATAAGAAGGATCCCCTGCTGACTCCTTCTATAACGGGCGTGTTGCTCATTATTACCTATGACAACATAGCGTAGGGCAAACTTGATTTCCTTTCAATTATAAGCAGCTGAACCATAAAAACCAGCTGTGAGCCAGTCTCTGCAGGTGGAGAGTCCTGTCCCACACGGGGATCTGCAGGGCTTTTCAATCTGGAATGAGGGGCAGCTTTTGAATCGTTGTACTTATTTAATTGCCAGCTCTGTCTCTGCAAAAATGCAAGTGGTAGCAGTCAGCTCTCTTGGCTTTCACAGGTCCCAGCTTCCTTACAGCTCAGTGCAGTTAATCCACCCGGGGAAACTGTGAGTGTCTGGCACAGAAAACTGAACGGTCTTTAACGCGCAGGAAGGGGCCAGTGATTAATGCTGAAGGACGGAGGTGCTAAGCAGCTGTCTCCCCTGTGCTCCAGCCCTGGGCACAGGGCTGCCCAAGCTCCTTGTCCTATTGCTGTGGCCAGACAAAAGCGAAGCGGCAGTTTGTCTGATAAAAGCAGCAAGGCTCCCAATTTCTGAGTGGTGGTGATGGGGGGACCCACCCCTAGCTCAGTGCCTGTCCTTGCCAGGGGAGATACCTGTCCTGCTCATGCCTGCACTTTGCAGCTGTGGACCTTTAAACTGTTGTGTTTGTGCGATGAGGCTGGACACGCGTGTGCTTACTGCAGCTCACCGACTGCACCCTCCCTGCGAGAACGAAGTGCAAGACGAGTCCCTGGGATGTCCAGGGACGTGGCCCCAGGCAGCTCTTCTGCCCTCACTACTGGAGCTGGTCCTTGGCTTTACGGCTCGTGCCTGCCTCTCTGCACCCTGCAAGGCCGATGCCACTCGTATTCTGCAGCGGCACAGCACAGTCGGGCTGGCAGAGGCTTCGGGAGGTCACATCTAGCCTAGCCCCTGCTCCAGGCAGGACTATCCCTGTCTAAACCTTCTCCTCAACAACCCAGGATCTAGTGCATCTTCTGGCATTTTACTTACTTTAATTTAAAGGGTTTGAAATGACTTCTAGTCCCCCCGAGATCTGAACACTGGCAGGCTATCTGATGTCCTGCTTCGCACCTGCAGCTCCTGCATCTGCCCCATCACTCCTGACTGAGATACAGCAGATCTTAGAGAGAGAGCAATTTATGGATTTCAGCTCCTGAGAAACTGCTCTTCAACCCTGTTAGGAACCAGGACTGAAGGGGCCTCCTGGGCCACTGAGCTCAGTCCCTTGCATTCGCAGCAGACACTTGCCAAGGAAACTCCCGAAGTCACCAATTCAAACCCCCGTGCGCCTACAAGGCACAAACCAGAAATGCCAAGCCTGGGTCCTGAATGCCCTCAGTAAAACCAGGAGAGCTACGGGACTGCCAGCTGCCTCCCACTGCAGCAACAAGGAAGGAAGTGGTTAATTAATGCCCAGAGGATCCCAAGAAGAGGACTATGCCCCAGTCTCTGGAGGGAGCCTCCCCAGTCTCGCCGTCTGCCCTACAGGAGACATTCCTTCCTGACCCCAAACTGTCACTACAGCTGCTCAATTAGTACAGGACACATCTACACGGTGACTCATGTCTTGACAACACTACACATCAGTGTCTGACTTCTGTAGCTTTTTGCTCAGAAACAGCTATCCAGATGTTCAGAGTAGCTTTCTCCCTTAATGCCGGTAGCAAGTTCCCACATTAGTGTCTTTGACCCTTCCCCAGTTGGAGCACAGGGGAGCCCATTCTTTTCACACCAGCTAAAAGTCCCCGGTCTTTGCAGCTGCAGCTCTGACTTTCAGACTTTTCAGTGAGGTCCCCAGACAGAGACGAGCACCCAACAGGTCAGTGCAGCAGTCGGCTTCTTGCATGCAATAATGATAATGCATTGCTGTGCATCGTGTTGCCCTCTGCTAGAGCAATAGCCAAGATGTCTCCAGAGAGGGGGGTGCTGGTTGCATGGTCCCAACAACCTCTCCAGCACTGGCACAGAGGAGCTTGTATCTCCCGTGTAGTTGAGGGTGGCGTCCTGAGACTTGACAGATCTCCAGCTATCTCTGAACCAAGCAGTCCATTAGTTTGAGATTAATGTCCTCCCTAGGGGCGCAGAGGACTTGAGATTGCAAAATACATCTCCCAGGGAATTGACCCTGCTGTTGTGTTCAGAAGTCAATGAGGTCAAGGTGGCAGGGGCGCAGAGGACTTGAGATTGCAAAATACTTCTCCCAGGGAATTGACCCTGCTGTCGTGTTCAGAAGTCAATGAGGTCAAGGTGGTCAAAGGGGTTTTGCAGAAGCAAGCTAGGCCA